TAGATTCTTGTACTAAGGGACCTGAATGGAATGATATCATGTATTTCTTTTGTATGAAATATGTGTTACATGCAATGTATGGCTTGGGGTGTTTCAAAGTGGTATCAGAGCCTGAGTTTAAGAGATTTAGGTATTCAACAGCATGATACCTAGACTTAAACTATTTTATTGCATGTTAAGGGTCCCGGACATAGTTAGCACCATTGAAAATAAATATGATGAGTTAAAAGAAYAGTGTGTAARRTAAATTTTAATTACATCTGGCCAGTGTAATTATGAATTTACAGGTACACATCTGAACTTGAATTCTTCATTATATTTGGGAATGTGAATACGTGATTATTAACACTAAACTCTACAGATGTCTAGCCAAACTAGAAGATCTGAAAGAGTGGCTCGTCCAGAATCTGAGGAAAGAGAAGAATCACCCGTAAATCTACCGACTAGTACATCTGAAAATAAAGGTCGGGGAAGAGTAAGAGGACGAGGCAAAGGAAGAAGTCAGTCTCAGGGAAGGGGTCAGACTGGAATACATTCTGAACATGAAGAATCTCACTCTGGGAATATTCAAGAAAGATCGGTACCACATCCTGAATATATAACCAGGGATATGTTGGCAGAAGAAATGGGAAAGTTGCGAGAAACTCTGACATCTATTATGGGAATATCGGCTAGGGTAGAAACGGAAAGAGTGGAAGTTCATCCCTCTACTTCAGTCACCCACATCAAAGAATGAGATATTAAGATGTTTTTGGCATGTAAACCACCAACCTTTTCTGGGGAGAGAGATCCAGTAAAAGCTATGTGCTGGATTAAGAAGATGGAATCTGTGTTCAACATCATTCGTTGTCCGGAAACAGATAAAGTTCGATTTGATGTTTCTGTATTAAAGTCAAATGCTTTATTCTGGTGGAAAGTTGAATCATCTACCAAAATAGATATTTTACAAACTCTGTCTTGGGTAGAATTCGTGGATAGATTTAAGAATCAATTCTGTCCTAAAACAGCAGTGAGACAAATGGAGGAAGATTTCTTGAAACTAGATCAAGGAAATGGAACAGTTCGAGAGTATACCGAAAGATTCATTGAATACTCTCGTTTTGCCGAACATTATGTTTCAACTGAATTCAGGAAGATAGAGAGGTATATTTGGGGTTTGAAACCCTCAATTAGAGAGTTTGTTATTGCTATGAACCTCAATACCTTTCCATTAACAATAGATGCAGCTGAGGTGACCGAACGAAATAAGAATAGACAATCAGAAGGAAAGGTTGTTGAGAAAAGAAAATGGGAGGAGCCTTCATCTTTTCGAGGGCCGAAAACTGTTAGATATGATAAAAGATCTGAGCAGAAGATCAGTGAGAAAGTCTGCTCA